TTCTGTTGATGCTGGGCAAGTGATCTTGTAAGCAAACATCTAATACTTACATCGTTTCAGCTACACAGGGAATCATTCCACGAGCTTTCACAGCCTCCTTCAGGCTCCCTGGGTTCCACATGGAACGCTGAAAGACAAAAGACCACGCAAACCTTTACATTTAGAATAGGCTACGAAAACCATAAAATGCACCAAACCTCTCAAAAGAGACTATGCGTTTAATAAAACCCTTCATAGCTAAAATACATTTGTTCAAAGAGTAATTTTATAAAACCACTTCACTTTTTTACATATTAAGTAGCATTAACAGCACTAACACTGCATTGTCATATAAAGCATAGATCAGGTCCTGAATACAACAGACAAGTTCAAATGTTTGTCAGGAGTAAACACACGCTTCCGGATACTTTTATGGCTTTCAGCACGGGAGAGTTAATTCCTCATTTCATGCACTCAAAGCAAAACAGAGGACATGCTATCATTGTCAATGCATGTTAGCTAAGCGGCTGTTTAATCTGTGAATGCCAGACAGCTGCTACCTAGCAAAGCATAATTTGGGTCTAGAAAGTAATTCTCTTTTTTCATTCTCTAGCACATTCTTTTCCATGTTTGTTTTCCCATGTTCAGTTGAGCCGGCTCAACTTCACTTCTCTTAAATTCCCAGCTCTGCTATACAACTACAAGGCTCTGAAGTGAGCATGACAAAGGTATGTTTGCTTTGTGTAGCAAGAGCTAAAACCATAGCACCTAGTCAACACCTCTGTTTGTATCTGATCCAGAAAAAAAAACAAAAAACCCAAGAAAGCTCTGGCAAAGCTCCTCTGCTCTACCATGCTAACAGAAACACTAAACCATCTTGTTCTTACGGTTCTTCGTATATCTAGGGAGCACACTTACATGAGACCTACTTCTTAGGAAACAAGTGGGAACATAAGCCTATTCAGTGCTTTCTCAGTAGAAAGTAGGGAATGGATGTAGAAAGACAACCACGAAACAAGTTCTTATCGCATATGCCAATCTCTGCATGAGTTGAATTTTCCCCAAGCTTTAGTCCTGTATCTGGATTAGGACAAATTTCACCAACAAATAAAACCTAGTTCAGATAGAAGCTTTTTAAAAAGCTTTTAAAAGCCCAGGGAAACAGGCATCCAAAATTCTTCAAGACCCCTAGAAACTGTGGAGTGGCACTTTCGCCCATAATATACACACACACGGAGCAAAACCATATCTCCACTGAACCATTTTTAGGCATTTACTTTTGAGATGGGTAGTCCAAAAGCCTACACTTCACTCTGAATTTACATCCTCCACTTCCAAACCCCATCTTCCACACAAACAACAACCCTTTTGCCCCCTTGACAGTCTCACAGCTCTTTTAGCACACACTCCTGCTGTAAGGGCTGCCCTGTACGGGTGCACAGCCACCAGCCAGCTTAAACGCGTACCGGCACAGTGGAATTCCTGCCTCTCTCATGGTGGAAGTCCTAGCTTGGATTTCTTTCTATTTGACCATAGCATCCCATGAATTTCAAGAATTTAAGCAAATGTAACATCTGGCACTTCTATGTTAATTTCTTTTGGCACCCCACAACTAAATAATTCCTTTTATAAGCCATCAGGGGAGGAAAGAAGAGATGGGAGGGACAGGGCGCTGTGCAGCCTCATTCCCCCAGGAGTCTGCTTAAGTAGAGGAGAGGCAACATCTTAACACTTCACATTTTGAAAACCATTGTCATGGCAACTTTTTGCAACAAACTAACTACTTCTCAAACAGATTCGTATTTCTTTGGAAGAAACCTATGATCCACCAAATCTACACATCAGTTGACTACAGCACATACAGGAAGCAAATGCTTATTTCAAGTTCAAAAGAAGCTGAATCGGATGGAGTTCAGCCCTACCCAGCAATAGCCAAACTTTTCAGGTTGTTTGAAGTAGTTTCCACATTGGCTGACCTGTACGCACACACTGTCTAGAGCCAGAAATTTTAACATCTGTTAGAACCGCCAGCTACAATTCCTCCCCCATTCTTATTACTTTTATTCAACCAAGTTACCCATTTCACCTTTTTTAAATTTTTAATGGAGTAGCAAGTCTAAACTTCTGTGACAACACAATTATGGGATGTGGACTAGCAGTTAAAAAAACCAAGCTCTTCAAGTCTGTATTTAAAGTCTATCATAGCACAGCAATGCGTTGTGGCTGACTCCATCCTAAATCACGCAAGGTGACTGTGGCGGTGGTGGAAAGAAGCATCAACACTTCCGTGGGCAGAGGTTTTAATTCAGTCCTTGGGTCAGGGTTGCAAAGTACAGCTGTGTGCTAGATCACCAAGCATCCCCCCTTGCTGGCACGGGAGGAGTGCCATGCAACAGTAACTCAGAAAACAGCCTGCATCCTTCATTAGCAATCCCACTCAGCAGTCCACTGGGAAAACGAGTAAGTAAATGGCGTGTACCCTCAGGATTATGGAGGCTTTTGTTTTGCTCACCTGCCTCTTTCTGCACCTGTGTCTGACTGCCCCCTGTGACCTGGGCTCTCCTGAGCACTGGTGCACGGAGGATCACACTGCAGAGCCAAAGCCACTTTCACCCTCGACACTCGTCCTCAGCAGCTTTTCTGGGGGTAAAGGCTGATAAGAGTTCTCACAAAAGGCAACTTTCCTTGCTTTTCTATGGGGAATCAGTGAAGAATTAGTGATACCGTTTCCCTCTTCAGCAGGCAGAAATTGAGAGGATTAACTCTGCATGTGGGAGATTTTACTGTGCATTCAAGAGTTTTGTACTACAGCACCAAAGCACTTGGTGTGTAAGTGTTAAAGCATAAATGAAGCTTCGGTCAGCAAAGCCATCACATTATGGAAACTGCTTATTTCAAGTCATAACCTGCAATGAAACTTTCTCAGCAAAAGCACTCTGACTCCAGGACAACGGACACGTTACGGGCTTTCATTAGCCCAGAAGACACCTCACCATACCCCTAACGAAGTGCTGCGCTAGCACCAGTCTGTCACACAGATCTGTTCCACACCTCTACTACAGAAACACATTTATGCAAAGTTACTTAAGAGGAAGTCTAAAAGCAGGAAAGTCCTGCTGCAATTAGTTAAAATGAATTATTAGTTTGTCAGGCTTCCTGCAGTTCAAGCACCTTTCAGTGAACTACAGCCAGATTATGATTTTGGAGACATACAGATGGGAACTTTGTTGATCTGTTCCAAATCAGGGTAACAAGCTACTTCTGATTAACCTCTCTTTGAGCTTTGGAATCAAACCGGAATACTTAGAAATCTGATCAAAGTGGGCAAAGTTTGTCTCTATAGAACACACCTGTATCAGAGTAGAAGCTGGTTTTATGGACACGTGAAAAAGGACCATGTAGAGTTTTGGCTGCCACTTGGCAGAAGGCTAAATGGCAGGCAATGGGAAACCCAAGCAGTTACTAGCCCGACTACACATATAGTGGAAGCCTGAATACTTCATCTCAAAAAAGATACGGACTTCTTTGAGAAAGACCATACTGGAAAAGCTTAACTCATTTGGAAGGGAAGAGAGGGGTGAGTATCTAAAAAAAAAATAATCCAAGTAACAATAGATTCAGGAACTGCTTCACCATGTCTACAGTCCATAATGCTGGGCTAGCTCTCAGCGCCAAGAACCAGAGCTATCACCAAACCTCTTACCAGAAGGAGCCTCGCAGTCACCAAAAAGCAGGCAAAAATCTCTTAAACAACTGCACCTTGAGGTGGTGTGCTGGCACTTCAAGTCCTAGGCTGGGACATCAAGGGGGATTTTTCCATTCAAGATTCTGGGCAGAAGAAACCTGCTTTCTGCACTCTTGAAGAGCGCAGTTCACTGTGTTCTTGAGTTCACTGTGTGCAGCTAACTATGCAAGGCT